GTGTTTAATGCACTAAAACTCAAAATTTATTTATACAGTTAAAATGATATCAAAACCAATACATCATTTGCAACAATAGGCACATTCAAAATATCCACAAATAGGGAAAGCACACTTGGACTGCCCACAGTAGGATACAGTTTATTTTTAATTTAAGTATACGGTTATCAAGATGGACAGGTCTCAGGCTAAAGAAAATAATAATAATAAAATAAAACTCTTTTGAGTGAAAAAGACAAGTGGCGAAAAGAATAGAGTATACAATATCATTTAGGTAAATTTTTTTTTAAATCAGAAACATTAGCTGGTAGATGTAGACCTCTGAGTGTCAGGCTAAATTCGGATTTCTCTAGAGGCAGGAGTGCACTCCGTTTGCGGAGGAGCTGAGGAATCGCCTGCTGATGAGACCCCAGGACCCGTCCTCTGTGGGAGGCCCAGCTCTGCAGCATCGCTCCCAGGGTCACCAGGCAGCGCTCAGGGCTTGCGTGCTGGCTGGGGTGAAGTGTGTCTGTCCCCCCCGCTGTGAACACAGGCCCCTTGGGGACGGACCTGCCAGAGTAGAGAATGTAAGTTCGGTGTGGCTCTCAGCGTGGAGCAGTTTCCATGCCAGCGATCCCTGGTTTGAAGCTGACAGGTGCAGTATTGACAGGTGTGGTTGCCATGACTACCCAGACTCCTCCTATTTACCCACAAGAGTCAAACCCCTAGCTGCAAGCCCAATATCTGATCGACCGATGTGGACCCTCAGGAGTGGAAACAGGACCCCTTCCCCACAAAACAGGGCCATCCCCAGGTCGGAGTGTTCTAGTTGTGAGCGCACACTTCCTGGGGTGGCTTTCTAGCACTGCCAGAGATCTCTACAGTAAAAGTTCCTTTGCTTTAGGGTTAGGGTTAGGGTTAGAGTCTTCTGTGACTCCTCTTCCCCTTTCCACAAGAGAGAGACCAGGCTGGTAAGGGTGAGTCTGGGGACCCTTAGACCTCAGACCCACTAAGCATAACAGTAACAAAGCCTGAAGTATTAGCATGACCAATGACCTCGTCAGTGCAGAAATGACACCCAAGTCAGGACAGATGTCTTTAAATATCCTTTTGATCATAAAGTAGGAATGGGTGTACTGCCGAGTGCCATATATAACTGGATTTAAAACTTATATGTCAGGCTGGCCACATACCTCAGTGGATTAAAGGGCCTGCAAGCAGGTGCAGAGACCAGGGGTTCAATCCCAGGGCCTACCATGCCAGCTCCGTCCCCAGGGCACACTGAGACAGTAATTGAGATTGGGTGTGGTGGCGAGCACCTGTAAGCCTGCTCATGGCAGGCTGTAAACAGGAAAATCACTAAGAATTTGATCTAAGAGTGAGACCCTAAACACCCTGTAGGCCATTCTCTAAAAATAAAAAAAATTAAAAAAAAAAAACCTATATGTCACAATTTGATTCCTAAAGCATTTTGAAAATGCATTCCAATGTAAAGATTCCCTAGTGATTTTATGTGCTGCACCCTGTCCATTTCATACCAGATTCTGAGAACACCATCAGCTTCCCATATTGCCAGAGGGGTTTCACAATGCAGAAAAGTTGAAAACAAAGAAAAATGGCCCACCCTGGGGAGATGTGGCTGGCGTCCCAGGACATTACAGGGTACAGAGCAGCAGCAGCAGACAGGTGTGGGCCTCAGCAGAGGCTGGGCTCAGACACACCCAAGCCAGACTCTGTGCTGCCCAGTGCCTGTAGGAGCCTGGCACATGGAAAGCGGGTGGGTATCAGAGAGTAGAGTGGCCGTCTTAAGGGCATGCACTGACCAGAAGTAAGGGGCCACTTGCAGAGAGCTCAGTCCTGCTGAGGAGAGGTGGGCATGCACACACACCAAGGCACGCTCACCACATACACACACACCACACACACATTCACCATGCAGGCACACACCATGTGCACACTCACCACCCAAGAGCCAAGGGAAGGGGCCCTGGGTCCCGCATCTCCCGAGTGCCCACCTCACACAGCATCATAGTTTTAATTTTGCTGATTTGCTGGAGTTCACCTCTCTTTCTCCTCTCACTGAATGCTGGAGCACACAGCCTCCGTGGCAAGGGATGGCTTGCCCAGCAGACACCGCCTGGCAAAGCCCGGAGCCTAGAGCCAGGTCACGATCTCGCACAGGCAGACAGCAGGCTTTGCAGGGGTTCAGTTCATGTTTCGACCTGACAGCCTGAAGCGGGCATTTGGTTAAACAGCACTCTGTACCTGGAGGGCTGTGTGGGTGAGACATGTGGGGGCCGCGGAGGCAGGGTGCCTCCCCAGGGCGGGCCCTCGCGGCCCAGACAGCAGACAGACAGAGGGAGAGCCGGCTCGGCACTCAGACTAGGACAGGTGGCCATCCACTCCCTGGGCCTGGGCTCTGAAGCCAGGCTCCATGTTTCTTTCTCCTAGCTCTCCTGGTCTCAAGTGTGCTGGCTGCGGATCTTGGGCCTTGTGGACCTACCTAGGCACATGGCCAGCCTACAACACAAAGCCTCTTCCACATGCCTGCCTGTGTGCTTCTCCTCTGGAGAACCTAGGCTGACACACAGTATGGGGTGGATGTAATCTTGGGCCTGGAGCTGCCCTTCAGGTGTTAGGAAGGTGTTAGGAAGCCATGTGTGTAGAGCATTTGCTTCTTGTGCTTTGTTGAATTTTCTGGGCAAGGAACATGTAGAAGAGTGGGAGAAGTCATGAGTTTGCGTAGAACTTAAGTTTGGCTGGTTGAGGAAAAGGATGGTTTTGAGGGGAGCAGGAAGCAGGGTTTCCTGGGACATGTGCACCCAGCCTGATTGGCCTCATTCATATGCTTGCACCAAAACCTCCAGCTTTCTGCTGAAGACTGGCTGCCCTGGGCCTGGTTCTCCTAGGGATCCTGTAAAGTACAGTCACAATGCCCAAGGGAGGCAGAGGCAGCCACAAACACAGTCACAGGCTACCTGGGGCCTGTTGGACTCAATGTCCGCTACTACTTTCTGGGCAAGTGTCAGTCCTGACAGGCTTGGTTTGCTCCTCTCAGCAAATACCTGGGAATCTTGTCTCCCTGCAAAGTCACAGCACAGTGGCCAGGCTATATTATTTGCTGCCCAGGATTGCATGGTCTGCTCTGTGGTCTCTCCCTGTCCCAAGGCTGGGGTGTCTCTCCATTCAGATCCTAAGGGTGAGACAGGATGACCTGCACCTGCCACAGGGACAGGCATATGCAGCCCACATCCTGCCTCCGTTGTCTGCGAGAGACCCACAGTAGCTCCACAGCCGAGGTTCTGACTCTTCTTGGTGACATGAGGCGTCCTCCATCAGCGGCTTGGTAGTACTTTCTGCAGGGTGCAGGCAGCCTATGACAGCAGCTGCTGGCATGGAAGCAGGGGTCGCTTGCTCCATTCTCCTAGTGTGGAACTGGCTGACAGTGAGGACCCTGCTAAGGCAGTACCAAGCTGGGGGGGAGGGGGAAGCACTAGGGAGGCGGCAGGGAACAGTGGGGAAGAAAAGACCAAAGAGAAAGGGTGGGCAAAGCAGGAGCAACACATGCTCCTGGAATCCACAGGAGACCGCCCACCCTCAGGACACAGAGTGGAAGAAGCCCAGCCAGTGGAGACCCCAGAGGGCAAGTCCCACAGTAAAGTCACCAGAGAGCTAGTCTGCACCCAAGGAGGTTGGAGGGGGGGCTTGAGGGTGTGTGTTATCACCTTGGTGTTCCCTGGGAACAGGCCTGGGGGTGCAGCCAGCACCCCCGCAGCTGCCCGTGTCACTCACACCCATACACACCCACACCTGTGCACATGCCCATGCCCTTCCTCTGCACACCCACACCTGTGCACTTACAGAGTTCTCTCAGGGCCTTCCCTCGCATCTGTCAGTGGCTCGGCCATCTCTGCAGGCCTGGACACACTGGATCTCTGGAGACAGGCCTGCAAGGCCACTGATCCTCCTGCCAGGTGTGTCTGGGAGCCATTAGGAGGGCCCATCCCAGAGCCCACTCTGGCTCTGGCCAGGGTCACTCGAGCAGCTGCTGCTGGGTGGGCAGGGTGGGGCCTACCTGGCATCCCACTGAGGGAGGCTGAGACAGGAACATTGCAAGTTGAGTCAGGCCAGGGAAACCGAGGGAGACTGTCTCTAAAAAGCATGACCCAGGACGCGGCTCAGTGGTAGATCAGCCCTGGGCTCCAATCCTTGATCAGATAGAGAAGAGGAGAGAGGGTGAAATAGGAGGGAGAGAAACACAACTCCCAGACCCCCGGAGAGCTCGGACGGGACTTGATTCCCACAGTTGTGGGGGGAGTGGGGACACAGCCTCCCCAGCAAACCAGGGCTCAGCGGAGGCAAGACTGTGCTTCCTCTTTGAATTGTCCTGTGCCCTGGATGGGGGAACGGACATGGGGTCTACTGTGTCTCTGCACAGGAGAGGAGGGACCCCACTAAACTCTGCAGAGGGGCTGGGCACAGTGCTTGTCTCTGGGTTCTCCACCTGGGTTTGGGGTGATCTAGCCCTACCACGGACAGGGGTGGGGTCAGCGGCGCCCACTCCACTTGCTCCCCCTGGCCTAGGTGAAGAGTCGCAGCCTAGGGGCCAGCGAGATGGCTCAGTAGAATAAGCGCTTCCCTGACAAGCGCAAGGGTCTGAGTTCAATCCCTGGTTCCGCCAGGAAAAAAAAAAAAAGAGTCGCAGCCTGGGCTGGGATATTAAGCAGGTGCGGAGCTCGCCGGCTGAGCGAACCCCGGACGGGAGGGGGCGGGGCGGGGCTGTCCTGGCTCCGCCCTGGCCCCGCCCAGGGCCGCCCCGCCCCCGCCCGCCTCGCTCCAACCCCAGCCTCCCACCGCTCGCCCCGCCCCCACCTCGCCCCGCCTCTCCGGTGCGCCCCGCCCCGGCCGGCCGACTTGGCCCCGCCCGGTGCTCCCGGCGCTTCGCCTTCCGCGAGCCAGCTGCGCACAGGTGAGGTCTGAACGGCGCCGCGCGGAGGGGGAGGACTGCAAGCCCGGGGAGCCGCGTCCCGGGGCGGCGGCGCGCGAGCCCTGAACCTTGGGAGCTGGGTGGCGGGAGCGTCCCGTCTTCCCCGGCACCTGCTGCGTGGCCCTTTCCCGGGGCCGGAGGCGCTCGCTCAGGTCCGCGTGGTGGAGGCGGGCGAGGGCCGAGGGGCCTGCGCCGTGAACTCTCGGCCGCCCGAGGCTGAACGCCGTGCTCCTGTGTGCAGGTGCGAGTCCGGGCCGCGCCGCGTCGCCGTCGCCTCGCCCGCTGCCGGGATGCTCGCCGCGGAGACCCGCCGGACGCGTGCCCACGCAGGTCGGTGTCACGGAGGCTGTCCTGCTCGGCCCCCCCTCCAGTCCCGCCGCCAGCAGAGGCAGCGACGCTCCCTATCGCAGCCGCGCGCGACCCGGCGACAGGTTCTCCGGGTCCTGTGAGCCGCGTCCGCGCTCTGCGCAGTCGGTCAGGACGCTCTGCGCGCGGCTCTCCCGAGGGACAGCTGCAGTCCCGGCCCAGGGACCCCGGCTCGGTCATCCCACTCCAGTGGCCCCTGCGCAGTGACCCCGCTCAGTGACCCTGGCTTAGGGAGTGAGTCCCTCCCCCTGCACCCCTCGCCTGCTCCCCCGGGGCAGGGCACCAGATGAGCTGCTGGCTCTGCAGTGCGCCGTCCTGCGGCGCGGGTTTGCGAGTTGGCCAGGTCGGAGCTGTTCTGTGAAAACTGCTGAAGCCAGGGTTTGGGCGCTGCCTGCGGTCAGGACCGGCTGGCGGTCACACCCTTTCCCACCCCCACCCGGGGCAAAGGATCCGAACTCACACTCTCCTTTTCCAAAAGGAAGTGGTTGTAGGCGATAAGAACAACCTCTAAGTCTTATATCAATTGTTTTTATAAATTAAGATTGTGTTTGAGTTGTTTGACTTTTTCGAGTTTTCCTCAAAAACACTGTAAACTACACATAGAGTGGCACCCTGCAAGTGGAAGAATCGGTCCATTCCTTCCTAAGCTAGCTGACCTGGCGGTGGCAGCGTTGCCGTGTGTGGTTTGGAGCGAGGGTTCCTTGACCTTCTATCACTGACACTGATGTAGGCCTTCGTGGAAAGTCAGCGCCAGCACGTTCTGTGGCTGAACTGGGTCCTGCCTGGTCCCTGTTGTTGATTTGAGGTCACAGAGGAAGGCTGCTTGGAAGGTCAGCTCCACTCCCAGAGCTGTTACAAAGGATTCCTCCCAGAGGAGCCTTGTATACTAGCCGTTGTGCACAGGAGGGTGGGTCGGGAGAGACCACACTCTTCTGAAAGTGGGGTCTTGGATCAAACTATGTCTTCCTTGGTACTGGACAGTCTGTGCTCCTGGTGACATGGTAGGGACTGCAGTACCCAGAACTGCAGGGCACCGGGAAGAGTCCTGGCTGCATCTGTGCTGAGAGGGCCAGGGTGGAAGAAGCTGGCTGTCCAGCCTGAGACTCTCCGTCCTGCCCTGCCCTTCTCCACCTTCCCCAAGCAGCAAGGGCCCTGGTGGGCCCGATGTGGCCTGGGTGTCCTCCACGGTACTGGCATCCACGGGCTCTTGTGGAAGTCGTGGAACAGCAGGGCATAGGTCACGCTGATCCCCGTGTGGAATTCTGTTTGGCCTGGATCTGCCTGCTGCTGCTGCTGCTGCTGCTGCTGCTGCTGCTGGAGCAAGATTCCCGGGTGATGGAAATGTCCCCAGCCGACTGGCCCATGTGGGTGCCACCAGTTGTGTGTGGTTACCCAAGGCTTGATATGTGACCAGGGAGGTTGAGGAACTGTGCATTTAAAAATTTTGGATGAGTTCACACTAAATAGCCAATTAGTAGGAGGCGTACTAGGATTTACTATCTTTCTGTGGTGCTCATTTATAGTATTTCAGCCATTTGGGTACCGTTTATATTTATGCCTTAATAGTTCTACAGAGGCCGTTATTTATCAGTGTTCTAATTGAATGTCTTTTTGTCTTTTAAAAAATTTAGATATAACATTAGGTAGTGACGTAGATAGACCTTAAGTCATAACCCTAAACTGGATATGCTTGTTTTCTGAAAGTATGTACTAGAATAGTGTAGGAATTTATAAGATTTTTTTTCTCTCTTTTTTAATGTGTTTAATACAGGTCTACGTGGTCTCACTACACAGATCAGACTCATAGTGATCCTCCTATTTTCATCCTCCCAAGTGCTGGGATTACGGGCGCGCACCACCATGCCCAGTCTCACTTGCTGTCTCAGTGTACCTGGTGGCGGGCTAGCACTGTACACTGGGGATCAAGCCCTGTTCCCTGAGCCTACCTAAGCAGGTGCTTTAGTCTGCTGAGCTATCTGGCCAGGCCTATAAGACTTTTTTAAGGAAAAGTGTACCTGTGAAGCAAGGTTGCTTTGATTTTCAAGTTTTCTCCAAAGGATTTCAGAGGCTTGATGAAATCTGACAAATGCACACCCCTGTGCACCCCACCATCCTATTAACATGACAGCATTTCCATCACCCATGTGCCCCTAAAGTGCCCTGTGTCCCTTCCCGAGTCTCCACCCCAAAGGCAGCATTCACTGTTCTGACTTCTGCCACCTGTGACCGAAATGAAATTGTTGCCATTTATTAATTTTTATACACCAATAATTTGTTTACATAAGATGATTTTAAAATAAAACATATCATATGCTTTAATAGAATACCAGGGTTGGGCCGGCCAGATAGCTCCGTGGATTAAAGTGCCTGCAAGCAGGCACAGGGACCAGGGGCTTGATCCCCAGGCCTGCTGTGCTGGCCCTGCCCCTGGGGCACACTGAGACAGTAATTGAGACTGGGTGTGGTGGCACACAAGCCTGTAAACAGGCAGATCACTATGAGTCTGATGTAGTAATGAGACCCTGAATACACTATAGACCCTTCCTAAAATACCAAAAAAGGACTGGAGAGATAGCTCAGTGTTATTGAATAAGTGCTTGCCTGGCAAGCGCAAGGTCCTAAATTCAATCCCTGGTATTAAAAAAAATTAAAAAATTAAATATATATATATATGTTTCCAGAGTTTGTTTGTTTGTTTAATTTTAGTACAGGGTCTCACTACACAGATCAGACTCAGTGATCCTCCTGTTCTCACCCTCCCAAGCACTGGGATTACAGGTGCACACCGCTACGCCCAGTCTTAATCACCATCTCAGCTTGCCCTGGGAGTGGGGCCAGCACAGCATACCAGGAATTGAACCCCGACCTCTGTGCTCTGCCCAAAAAGCTACAGGTGCTTTAGTCCACTGAGCTATCTTATCTGGCCAGCCAATACCAGGATTTTTTAAATCTACATTTTAAAATGCTATTGTAAACATCTCAGATGGGTTATTTGCATGCTGTGCTTTGAGAAATTTGGGAAAGCTGGACTACAAATACTCTCCCTGCACATGCTGTTGGGTCTGGAATTTCAAGGGAAGGAAAAGCTTTAAGACCCATCTTATGTCATGGTCCTCACAAGGAAGACAGTGAGGGAAGGCAGGGAGCAGGTGAGCCTCTCAGGTCAAGTGACTCACGTGTATGACTGTGGGTCCTACCAGGAGCCCAGCACCTGCTGCCTGCCTTCCCTCACTTGTCTTCCGGTCTTCCCACGCAGGTCTCAAGACTCTCTCACAAACCCCAGCCATCGTCAGCCTGGTGGTCTTGTTCCTGAGCATCGTGGTGCTTGTGACACTCTCACTCGTCCAGGCCCACCTCTCCCAGGTTATCCCTCCAGGGCTGAAGGTGAGTGGGAAGGACCGGGATGGTTGTTGCCCCAAGTGCTCTCCCTCTGTGAGCTGTGAGAGGAGGCATCTTCTCCCCGCCTCCTGGAGCAGGAGAAAGTGGTATGAGATGCAAGGAGCTGCCCACATGCCAGGCAGTGACTTCGGGGGCTACTGGTGAAGGTGAGGCTTCCACAAGGACAGCGTGGTCTTGCTTTGACTTCTCACTATGGACAGCGACACTGCTGGTAGCCAAGAAAGAACTACACATGGCTACAAAGGTTTGCCAGTGGTTAATACAGTGCCTGTCCCTTTCTGCAGAGCCCTGACCGGGAGGCCCAGGCTCCTCTTCCAGCCTAGCCTGAATGGACAGAAGCAAGGTCTATGAAGGTTTCCTTGGGCTGAATTAATGCCACCTCTCTTGGATGCAGGCCCTGTGCCATGACCCCTCTGACACCTTCCCTGCAAAGCTTTAGGACTTCGTGCTTGGTCCCAACAGCTTTTGATGCATCTGTCCCCGGAGAGGGGAACGCTGCATCTTAGGGCTGTGACTCCAACGGTGCCCTGAGGGAGGCCCCAGAAGGGCTGTGGGTGAGCAGGGAAGACAGGGATCCTCCTGGCACCTGGAGTCAGCGGTTTTCCATGTAGAGGCCCCAGGAGTACTTACTCCTGGCTTCCGAGTCCACTTGTAATCTGGTTGCATATTGTCCTTAGGTCTCTGGCTCATTAAAGTCATAGAAAGCCTTTTCAGCCAAGAGCCATGGAGACTCAGGAGCTCACTGTGTCACATGAACTTTAGGGGGCACAACACTCATCCGTACCACCCTCACTCTGCCTTCCACCCTGGCCGCAGTTCAAAGGCTGCAGTTGCAAGCCTCTGTGAGCTCCCGTGTGAGCTCTGCATGTGCACTGTGCTCTCCTGTCTGTGCACTGCGTGTGCACAGCACAGCTCCCATGTGTGCACTGTGCTCTCCTATGTGTACACTGCGTGTGCACTGTTCTCTCTCCTGTGTGTGCCCTGCATGTGCGCTCTTCTGTCCTGTGTGTGCCCTGCATGTGCACTGTGCTCGCTCCTGTGTGTGCACTGTGTACACCTCTATATGTGACCCTCAAGTGAGCGTTATCTGTTGCCCCATCTGCCATGTTCTTACAGGGTCCTGTCAGCCACTAGTCACCCCAGCTGCCATCCCCGTTTTCTACTGCTGCACAGGTACAGGCAAGGGGTTAAGGTGAAATCAGAGAGATGGCACTTCGCTTGTGGGCCTACATTAATGCATCATAGCTTTTAACAAAAATGTTTAAAAAGTTGAACGTTAATACAAAAGACAGTGGAAGAATGAAAAGAAAGTTTTGTTCTTTTTTGCACAGTGTTGGGCCTTGACACTGAGCTCCATCCTTAGCCCTTCTAAAAAGATTTTTTGAGTCGGCATCTCACTAAGTCACTAAATTGCCCCAGCCTGGCTCAACATCCTCCTGCTTCAGCCTCCCCAAAGAAAGAGAAAACTTTTGTGCAGCTTACAATGTGTTTGCATTTTAAAGCATTATCACAGAAGAGTGAAAAAGTTTCACAAGCTTTAAAGTTTATAAAATAGAAAGAATATATAAAGGTTAATTTATTATTGGAAAAGAATGAACGTTTCTGAATGCAGCTTGGCCTGCGCATCCCATGTGGGGAAAGCCCATGACCTGCACCATGGAGTGTGAGATTTTGAGTTTCCTGCTGTGTCCTGCCTGAGCCCTCTTTGTGTTGGAGCTGTGAGCCCCATTGCTTGCTGCTGTGTTTGCTGGCAGTCACCTGGCCTGCAGCTCCACAGACCATAGGCGGGGACTGGGCTGTCCTACATGCAGGCCACACAGTACAGAGACAGCTGCCACCACCATCTCAGGCTGTGACGGTGACCCAGGGCACTGTGAAGAGGGACCTCAGGAAGGGTCAGGTCCTTGGCCAGGAGAGCACCTGGGCCCTCAGCACCATCCAGGCTGCAGCTGTGATAAGTGGCCTGCTAGGACTGCAGTATGTCCCTATGAGGTCCCTGGGGACATATGTCCCTGGTCCCACTGCAGGACACTCAACCTGGGTTTATAACACTGTTATCCCCACTTTGTGGCTGAGAAAACCAAGGACAGAACAAAACAGCATCTGAGGTCAAAGGGGTGAAACAGCGGGAGAAGTGCTAGGGTGGGGAGTGGAAGGGCAGGGTGCACCTTGGCCAGCCAGCAGATCCCCAGGGGAACAGAGGTGGCCCTGGCTCTGATGCAGGGCCAGGGAACTCCCTTGCCTGTGTCCTGTAGCCTGTGGCGACATCCAGAGAGACGAGTGATGTCCTAGCCTAGGAAGCATCAGCCACATTCCTGGTGACAGCTGCCACAGGCACCACTCCTGTGGCTGAGTGAGCGCCCAGAGCTGAGGAAGCTTCCCTTGTCACTCCGTGGATGCAGGCAGCAGGGTACAGGCAGCCCCCGCCTCACCTGGTTGAAGCCCGACTGTGCTCCGGCTTGTGGGTGTGCGAGTCTGAGAGCTGTTAACCTCAGCCCGGGTCAAGCCGCCGTTACCTACCGGTCTGACCTGCTGCACCACGAGTGCTGCAGTGCACCCAGGGCCATCACCTTCATCCTCTCCTTTGATCTGGGTCCTGGGCCCGCCCTCTGGGTCACAGTGTCCCGCCCCAGCATCAAAGGCCCTGCAGCTACAAGCTGCATCACTGTGGCACCCGGGTGGGGACAGGCTCCTGGGATTGACCGTGCCGCCTCAGTTCCCCCGGCAGGCACTGAACCCAGGTGAGCACAGCCCCATCATGTGCAGCTTGGAGGCCAGCAAGCGAGACACAGCCAGCCCTGAAGCCTAGATTTCTCATGCTGTGGCGCCCCTGCCCCCTTGGAGAACAGAGGTGGGTGCGTGGTTCCCCTCTTCTGGAAAGTCCAGACCGTGCAGCCCGGTCCTCTAGCCAGTCCCATGTGCCCTGAACGGAGAGTGTAGTCATAAGCTTGGTGCACATGCAGGAGCCATGTGCGGGAGCCTGCACCCCACCTTGGGCACCAGCTGTTAGACAGGGCCCCACGCCACTGTGCCGGGCTCGGAATCCAGCTTTGCTCCTGCCTGGCCCCAGGTTCACCCATGTGCCACGTGAAGGTGCCCTGGAGGTGGTGTGGACCCTGAAGATGTAAGTGCTGGTAGTGTCAGGTGCTGTCATACTCTTTTCTGATGCCATCCTGGACAGGATCGTTGATGACGTCACCCGAGTCACCCCTGCCCCCTCATGGCCCTGCACCGAGGTGCTTTGATTCAGGCTGAGGACCCTGAAGCTGGTGCAGGCTCACTGTCCTCTGGTGGAAACACACATGCGGTGGACCAGGGTGGGTTGAGCGAAGGCTGGCCCTGTCCACACAGCACAGGTTCTGGGGACACCTAGCAAAGCTATGGTGCTGCCACGGAGGATTTGGAGGGCTGCTCTGGAGAAAGGATACTCTTGAAGCTGGCTTCAGACCCTGGGAGGCTTCCTGTGGGGGGAAGGCTGGCCCCGTCTCCTTGCTCCCTTGTCTCTGGGTCAGCAGGCCGCAGGAGGCCGGGAGGCGGTGAGCGGCCCCTCCCACCCTCCAGTTCAGCTGTGCTTTGATCTCACTGAGGCCCCTGCCTGGGCCAACTGTGAACAATGCCACCTTGTTCAGACCACACCAGAGGCATCAGGTCAGGTCTCAAGTGACACAGAGCTGAAGGGCCTGGTCAGTGTCTGCACTGCTCCAGAGTCTGCTTGGTACGGGTGGGGGCAGCTTCCACCTCGGTCCTCTTCCTCTTACACATGCCATCGTCATGGGGTAAGCTGGGACCCCAACGCCTAGAACCCAGTGATTGTCTGCATTCTTGGTGGAGCAGATGACGCATGGGAAGTGGTGGCATCTCTTTTCAAAGCAGGGAGGGACGTGCAAAAAGTACTGTTCAGAAAAGGGCTTGCAGGGGATGGCTCAGTGGAATAAGCGCTTCCCTGGCAAGCACAAGGGTCTGAGTTCAATCCCTGGTTCTGCCAAAAAAAAAAAAAAAAAAGAAAGAAAAGAAAAGGGCTTGCAGAAGAAAACGCTGCTGCGTGCTCTGATTCTGCGCTGACCACGGCAGACTCCACACACGTGTGTACACAGATGGCACACCACATGAAGACAGATCAGGAGGGGAAAGCTGCCTGCTGTGTCTTGCATCTTCCTCGGGCTGCTGGGCTCCAAGCCAGGGCCTCAGGCTTGTGTGGGGCAGCGCCCACCACAGAGCCCCACCCAGCTCACCCACTCCAGGATTTGTGTAATTCTATTGATTTTGCCCAGTTCACTGTGCTGTGTGTAGTGGCCTTTTCCTGAGCTGCCACTGCTCCAGGGCACCCCAGCTCCTACTTAGAAAGTTGTCTAAGGAGGCCGGAGCTGCCTTCTCCCCGGGAACCAGGCTGGAGTAGGCAAGCTGCCACCTGGATGGTGCCGCTGGTTCAGCCGCAGGGCGCATGGCGGGGTCAGCGTCTAGTCCAGCCACCTCCAGGCTGCCTGCGCCCCTCTTCCCTGGCTCCTGGGTGCTATGGCCCACTCTGCCCCCACACAGCCTCTCAATGTTCGGATCCTCCGGGGTGGGAGCCATGTGGGTGTGACTTTCTTATTTCTCTGCTCTTACATAGGAATACATTTTGTTTTGGTCTTGTTTTTCTTTCTGTCTTGTGGGACAGCATCTAGCTCTGTAGCCCAGGCTGGCCTCAGTCTCCTAGCGGTCCTCCTGTCTCAGCCTCTCAGTGCAGGGCTGAGAGCTGTGTGCTGCACACAGCAGAACCCTCCACCTCCAAGGGTGACGAGGGAACTGCCCTGCCTCCCCTGTGGGAGTGTAGCAGTGGCTTCCCTTTGGTGGCTTAGCGCATTCCTGTGGCTAGACCCCCTGCTGTGGTGCATGCTCACAGGTCCCCTTGGGTGGCCACACAAGATGATGGAAGAGGTCCAAGCCTATGTGGGACAGTCTTGAGTCATGAAGGGGCCCAACAGGCTCAAGACCAGAAAGTGGTGCTCCGTTGTGAGTGTGTTAATCCCTAGCCGAGCTGGGGAGTCTGGAAAACCAGGCCCCAGGTGACCAACCATTCATCTCTCCTGGGACCCAGGGGCTGCTCCCTTCACATCGAGGCCTTGATGGGGGTCAAGATGCTTGCTGGAGTCTCCTAGGTCAAGGTCAACCCTGTTGCTGCCTGGCCAGGCTCAGAGACCCCAGCGTGATGTGGCCTCTTGGAAAACCAAGGCCATGCCTGGGCCTGACCCAGCTTGCCCGCTCCAGGGCCAGTGGCACTGCTCTGGAGGCAGAGTCCTCAAGGCCACCCCCTAGGGGAGGCTGGGGCCTAGGAGCCCAGCTTCCAGACAGTGTCCTCAGGGGTGGGCCTGTGCCTGACGCTGTCTCCCTCTTTCTGCAGTACGGGGTTGTGCTGGATGCGGGGTCATCTCGGACCACAGTCTACGTGTACCAGTGGCCAGCAGAAAAGGAGAACAACACAGGGGTGGTCAGCCAGACCTTCGAGTGCAGCGTGAGAGGTGAGGGTGCAGGCGGGAGGTGGGTGGGGTGGCCATGCTGGTCCCATCCCTCCCTCCCTGTCTCAGTGTCCCCTGTGTAAATAGGAGGTGTCCAGATCTCACCCCACCTCACCTCCATGCAGTTTACAGAACCCTTGAAATCCTGGCCCAAAGCCCAGGATGTGGCCAACGCCCTCACAGCAGCCAGCCCTGCTTCTGCACCTGCTGTCCACTCCCAGCCTGCACAGTACAATGTTGGGAGGGCAGGGCAGTGCCCTGGTGGGTGGAAGGGCAAGGCTGGGGCCGGGCACCTGTGGCACCAGTGTCCCTGCATATTGCCCCTGAAGGAGACTGGGTGGGAGAGGGTCCAGGATGACAGCGGGCAGCACCGCTGCTGAGACCTGCAGAAGCTGGGCCAGCGTGACACTGGGTGGGAGAGGGTCCA